AAGATCACACAAAGTAACAACTATTTCTTTTTGCAATGTTGGTAAGATCTCAGGATCGATCACCTTGCTGCAAATTGACTTGAAGAAAAAACACAGTTTAGTTATTGCGCTTCTTAATTTTTCTGGAAGAATAGAACGTATACCTATCGGTAGAAAATGTTTCATTATAACATGGAAATCATGCGTCTTTAAACTCTTTAACTTGAGGTCTTGCATAGACACAAGTCTTCTAATATCTAATGAGTAGCCTTCTGGAACTTTAACCTCACTTAGGAACTTACACAATATTTTTTCTCCTTTCTGGATAGAGTGTAAACAGCAGGTGGTAGATATGTTCGTGTTCCTTTTTTCACGGGTCCCAATTCAGTTCTTATTCCCATCTCTACCATGTCCTCCCTTGCTTTAAGACCATCCTTAGACTTCCCTTTTATATTGAGTAACGTACCAATAACACTGTCAAATACATTTTTTTCAATATGCATAACATCAAGAAAATGTCTTACGTACAAAGATTTCCAATATGGCAATTCAAAAAAAATCGACCTCTTCTTCCACCCACCTGTAACAACTTTATGTGCAAAAGGCTTGCCAAACTGAATACTCACATCTTTCACCTTTTCAAATAATTGATCACCTGTCAATCCAGGCGGAGCTCTACGTTGTTCGGTATCTCCGTTGAACGCTTTTCTCCATCCACGATATTGATGTTTAGAATTTAAGAATCTACGATGATCGAGAAAGACATTCTTCTGACAAAGTTTCAATCGCATCGTATCGGTTCCATCTTCACAGATAGGACACGCTTTTTCACCTTTAATGCTATACCCGATAGATTTCCGTAGGCTGGAAAATCGTTAATTGTTCCAAACAACATCGCCCTCAAGTTGAAACTTTCTTTCCTATACCCATCATAAACCTCCACACCGTTCTCCCATAAAATCTTCAAATCTTCGATTAAAGGTTCCAAATATACGTCTATGTCATTTCCTGGTTGTTTAGGCCCAGAAATTAACATAGATAACATCATGTACGTACGCTTCATACATAGCCACGGAGGTAGGTTATAAATCATAAGAATTACAGGCCATGTGCTATGCGAGATACTTTGAATACCGTGTGGGTTCATTCCATCAGTAGACAATGCCAAGCGAATGTTTCTTGCGTCTTTTCCAAATTCAGGATAATCATTATCAATTTTCATCCACTATGGTGAATCTGCCGGATGTCGAAACTTTCCATCAACAATTCTTTCATCTGCATGCCAAGTTAAGTGTCTTGAATCGGTTTCACTATGATACATCCGTCTAAATCTCGGAATTATAGGAAAATACCATAAGACTTTTGTCGGAGACAACTTTTTCTTATATCGAGGGGCACCGCATTTAGGACACTCATTTAACGATGCATACTCGTTTCGAAACAAAACACAATCTTTTGGACAGGCATGTATCTTGTCATAGCTCATGCCAATAGAGTACAACATCTTTTTGGCCTCATACGTTCGATTGGGGAGAACATTATCCTCTGGTAGCATATCTTTCATAAGGGCTAATAACTCTATGAAACTTTTATCCGACCATCCATTGCCCGCCTTTAAGTTGTACAACTTTAATACCGCAGACAATCTTGTGAATTGTGTACAACCATTATACAACGGTTTCTCTGCATCGCTTACCAACCTCTCAAACATTTTGGGACAATCATTAAGATCTTCTTCAAGCGCTTCTGCAATCTCTTCAACTCGATCATAATCGTATGTATCTGTGCCATTGTCGTTTGAAGTATAGGTCCTATTATCCCCCGATTCATCATTCTCGTCACTTTTCTCACCGTGCATATTCCAACATGTATAACTTCTATCAATTCCATACCGTATTAGATGCGATGCCAACTGAACCGCGTCAACCTGATTCCCATAACAGCAACACAAACAAGGACATGTCATTCGACCGGGGTCTTCGGCTTGCGCAACAGCAAACTTAACGAATTCCGATACCCCGTTCTCGTACTCTTTCGACAATCGATTGGAATACATCCATGTCTTATCCATGGTTTACGGTTTCTGAGTCAATCTGAGCTAAATGATAAATTAGAAAACAAAACCAATACTCAAAACTTGCACTTGCTCTTGCACAACCATATAACAAAACCAATACTCAATACTTTTCACTAAATTCATTTTATTCTATCAACTACTTTAGTACACAAGTATGCTACAAGTAATGATGAAAATAGGGGAAATGTACATTTGCATGGATGCTTCCTTCATTCTCGTAAAGTCTTTTGACTTCTAAACATATATAGCGAGGCTAAATATTTTGGTTTACAATAGTGCATATAGTACATATTTAACTCATATGTCTATTATATGTGAAAACTTAGAGATGGCATTTACATTGTGTTGTATGAGAGAAAAAATCGTACACACACTCTACAAAACTAAACTATAGAGTAAGCTATGGAGCAGGAAATGAATGGTATTTACTATCAATATGTTGTAGGCAAACAACAAGGCAAAACCACAATTATGGTCCAATCAAAACCCAACCACAACAAACACTGTATCTGCGATAATATAGTTAATATGGAATGTGAAAGAATCTGCATAAACTAGCGACTCTGACCATCAGACATGCAAACTCCAACACATATGCATTCCCCTACCACTATAGAAAAAAGTAATGCTACATAAAATTCCTATATCGAATTAACTAAAAGAATTATTAGAAGATAGTCACATCTTTATTCATACAAAACTATTCTAGAAATTAGAATCAAAGCAAGCATAGAACAATTTATTCATACAAAACTATACTAGAAATTGACATACCTAGAACGGAGGCGGAGGTCCTGATGAACGGAGGCGGAGGTTCTGATGAGCGGAGGCGGAGGTACTGATGAACGGAGGCGGAGGTACTGATGAACGGAGGCGGTGGTCCTGAACAAGATTTCGTAGATGCTAACGGCGGCAGAGCTCTGGTTTAGAGCTTTGAAGATTTCGTGAAGAACAATAGAAAAGTGATGATAGGAATTTTTGATTTTTATTATAAAACTACCTACGAAAGCGCTTTTAAAAGCGCTTTCTAAAGGTCACCTATAACAACGCTTTTTAATGTAAAAGCGCTTTCGTAGCATATCCTATAGCAGCGCTTTTAAAAGCGCTTTCTAAAGGCCATCTTTAGCAGCGCTTTGTAAAAGTGCTTTTTAAGGCTAACCTTTAGCAGCGCTTTTTGAAAGCGCTTTCTTAAGGTACCCTCTGAAAGGCACCCTTTAGCAGCGCTTTTCAAAAAGCGCTTTCTAAGGGTGACCTTTAGCAGCGCTTTTGAAAAGCGCTTTCTTAAGGCACCCTTTGAAAGCGCTTTTTTTAAGCAAATTTTTTTTAAAACCTACAGCAGCGCTTTTACCTAAAAGCGCTTTCGTATGTGTGCTGCTAAAACTTATTTTTGGCGTAGTGTATCCACCATAATGGTCTTCTCTACTTATGTCAGGTTTGCCAACATCATTGATTAACCTTTCAATGCTTCTGCATACTTTTTTTAAATAAAAAAATAAGATTGTTTGGATCTCCACTTTTCACAATCCAAAAACAATGTCTTTGAAATTTTTTCTCGACATTTCATTTAGAACTCATGGTGTACTCACTTGTAAATTTAACTCCTTTTGCCCTATGATGTCTACCACTTGTTGTGAAATAAAAGGATTCAAATACACTAAAAACTTGACGAGTGAGACAATTAACAATGATAATCAAAACTAAGCAGTCTCAAGCAATAACAATCTACCAACTAATACAAACACAATCATAATAAAAGAACAAGATAAAAAACAAGAGCACGCATAAATTATTTACACGGTTCAATCCAAAATGGTCTATTGTGGGGGAGTGAGACACTCTCTTATTCACCACCAATAAAAAAATTAACAAGAAATTACAAATGAATTACGAAAAAAATAAATCTCCAAATTCATAAGAAAATCTTTTATTTTCTACTCAATTTGTGTTTCAATCTCTCCTAATATCAATACATGAATCACTTAACTCCAAGCTGTTTAAAAAAATTTATCTACCCCTTAAATACTTCTAAAGATCTTCCAGCTCTTAGAACAATAAATTCTAAGAATCTATCTCTATCTCTATCTCCTTAAGTTTATCTCACTAGAAATCACTTCCTCCTCAAAATAAATTGCAAAAACCTTAAATATTACATAGCCTTCAAGAGTACTCCTTGAAACAGCCCACGTTTGTAATATAATAGTGATTTGAAAAGAGAGAATTCTAGCAAAGACCAAGACCCAAAAATGGAACAAAATCTCCAAATGAATATTGAGTCTAGATTCTCTTTGCCCTCATTCTCTACCACTACCACCTCAAAAATTATCTTGTGCACCACTTGTCATCCCCATCAAGAATATGATACTCCATTCATCCAAAAGCATCTTATATTCTTCACGCCAACACCTAAATTAAGTGTTTATCAACCATCATTCTTCTATCTTGATTGTTGATGCCACATAGTGCACAAAATCTAAGTGTATATTTACACAATCACACACACCCTTCATCACTTGCTATATATATATATATATACCTATCTCCACATTCTCATTCTCCTCAACTCTCTTCTCTTTCTTTTCTACCCTTCCTATCTCTTTGCATCTTCAGGTTTGTCTGTCTCTCTTTCTTTGAAAACTAAAACTAAAATATCATATATTTTGCAACTATGATATGACTAATAAAGTCGTAAATTAGTTGTAGTTTAACCACGACAAACATTTTAGTACGCCTTATTTAATGTGTAAATTTTTGGACTATGTGCGGTAGCCCTCCATACACGCCCTGAAAGACGGTCTTGATGGCTAATCTTCAATAAATTTCTTATTTTTTTATTGAAACTTTACGTCTAAACGATTCTTATTCTGACATCACCAAATAAGTTATAAAATATAACTTGATTTTTTTTTTTTTGCAGCTATAACAGTTAATCACAAAGAAAGTTTACATGGTTGACATTCAGATCCCAAGCACATTCGATCCATTTGCGGAGGCCAAAGAATCGGATGCACCGGGCACAAAAGAGTATGTGCATATTCGCATACAACAGAGGAATGGAAAGAAGAGCCTAACCACAGTTCAAGGGCTGAAGAAGGAGTACAGCTATGAGAAGATCTTAAAAGACCTCAAGAAAGAGTTTTGTTGCAACGGAAACGTTGTCAATTGTAAGGATCTTGGCAAGATCATCCAACTCCAAGGCGATCAACGCAAGAATGTTTCGCACTTTCTTGTTCACGCTGGTCTCGTCCGAAAAGATAACATCAAGATTCATGGTTTTTGATCAAGATTAGTTCATGGTCTGTGTTTTCTACATGCATGCTTGTATTAAATAACTAAGCATAAAAAAATCTCACTTTATATATTGTATAATTGATATAATCTTAATGAGAAAATCACCTTTCCTAGGTGAGTTTATACTTTATGAGTGTTTGTACAAAACAAATTACAAGATTACTCAAAACCTATGAAGCACAGACACTGAAAACACGACACCGATATTGACAGTGATACGCCGACACTTGTAATAATTTGAAAAAATTAATTAATTAAACGTAATCACAAGTGTCAGTGTCGATTTAGAACACAGACACACCTTTTTCCAAGAGGTGTTCGTGCTACGGAGCTCAAAACTAGACTTAAAAGAAACTAAAAAGAGAAATATAAGAGAAGAATAGAAAGCAAATCTATATTAAAAGCTTTACATGCCTATGATATGTTGTATAGAACTTCTAAAAGCTCTTTTCACAACTAAAGAAGTTTAAGCTTTTTCACTTGCTGATCTTGGATGCAGAAGACTCAAACTAGTGATTGATATTTGTATGATTTAGAATAGTTTGTCTTGTTGTTGGACTCCACTCCTCATCATTGTAGAAAATTCTTCATAGTTGATTCTACCATCCTAAGATATGTCATATCATTGAGTTTTAATTATTGAACATGCTGATGAAATTTAATCTTAGATTTGATGTTCTCATAAATGGTGCAGCTAACAATCAGAGCCGACGGATAAAAGATTAGATGACTCGTATTTCGTTTGAGGTAAGAATATGAGTCAATCGATCTTCATCCGATGGCTCTGATTTGTTCACCGCACTAATTGCACACTAAAGCAAATCCAGGTAAGAAAACAATTAGGCTTACATTATCGGCGTCAACTTCAGATATAATTTCCTTGATTGTGTTATCGTCGCCCATACCATATTCCTTCATGGCGGTTTCCAGTTCATCTCTTGTAATAAAACTGCGATGAAATCAAACAAAAACATGTAGACACAATCCTAATAGCCAAATTAGATTCAAGTATATGTGTTGTCGATCTAAGATCGTGAAAAATAGCAGTTCATTCAAATTCCGCTATGCCATAGAGATTCGCACAACATTGCAGCTATTCGACATTATTTTGTATGAAACATTGTACCACATAACAATAGAGATTCGGTCAAATTCCATTGAATGTACTTACCCGCTATTGTCTTTATCGAAATGTTGGAAGGCCTTGTAAAGATGTTCATCTCTTTCTAACCTATGTCGATGCATAGTAGCAGTGATGAATTCTATGTAATCGATTGTGCCATTTCCATCTACATCAGCCTAAATTTAAGCAAAAGAATATAATTTTAGAAGAATTAATTATACGAAAATTAGAGAAGAAAACAAATGTTGCAAAACAGCAATGGCTTACAGCTTCCATAAGCTGAAGAACTTCAGCTTCGGTAAGCTTTGAGCCGAGTCTTTGCAATCCTGTTCTCAATTCCTCATATGTGATTGTACCACTTTTGTCTGTGTCCATGTTTGTAAACATTTGCTTCAAACCTTGGATCTCTTCCGAAGAAAGATTTTCAGCAATTACCTGAAAGATTTTTCAAAATCCATTCAGTTCTTCTGAATTGATGAGAACACGCAAATGTGTATGTCTCTCAATGTGTAATTATTGACATGTCGAGGGACCTAGGAGAGCTTATGGAAATAGCTTATGACGTGTCTAATCATGAAGTTTGCATCCGGACTAACCTTGAGAGCGAGTTTTTTTAGTTTATTCATCGCTCTGAATTGCTTCATTCTAGAAAGTACTGCACTGTCTATAGGCTTATCAGAAGCACTTCCACCTTCTTTAAGCCATGGATGCTCTAATTATCCATACAATACATAGAAAACAGTTACTAGAGAAATTACAAAACATTAACCAAGAAAGTTCTTAATAATACGAACTATACTAACATTTGTCGTTCAAAAAAATACGTCAACGGAAGCAAAAACAAAATAGAAGTGAAGTGACTTACCTAGAACCTGAGTAGCAGTGATGCGTTTCTTCGGATCTTGTATAAGCATCCGACGAACAAGGTCCTTAGCACTGTTTGATATGCTTGGCCATGGACGACATTCAAAGTCAATATGACCTTGCAGTATGGCCTCAAATATTCCCTTTTCCGTCTCTAAAACACGTATTTTATGGAAAAATTAGTCAAGGTCGGGTCTAGTACAACGTGATTATTCCGTGATGAAAAATACAAAATGAACCAGTTGATTTTACCTGCCCAAAACGGAGGCACGCCACAAAGTAAGATATACAATATAACTCCTGTACTCCATATATCTACTTCCTTCCCATATCTACGACGTAGAACTTCTGGCGCAACATAATATGCACTACCAACTATATCTTGATATATCTTTCCTGTGAATAAATTATAAAATTTTTTTTAAGTATATATCACGCAAAGCAGCTGCAATATCGCGATTCACAATCGCAACCCTGCAATTGCAGTGTTTCTGTGACCACCAGAGAATCCACATTGCAACACTACAATGCAGGGCCTTAAGAACGTGCAAGACAGGCTACCTCACAAGCTCAAAATTTGTCATGGTTAAATCGTGGCTAAATAGGGTCATTGTAAAATAAAATCACGGTTAAACTCTGGTAGAATAGGGCCCCTATATATTTTGGCGCGGATGAATTGTGGTTAACCAACACAGGGCCTCCAAAAACTTAAGACACCTCTCCTACAATGCATCGGTTGAAGCGGAGGATAAAGTATAGCACATTACTTCCCGTGTTCATAACACTTCTTAACAGTTACTTTCATAGGTCATGCTACAATCTCGACGATAAACTCAGGTTTACCAATGACAATTATTGGCAATGCATTGCAGCTAAAATGAAATTTCTAGATTATGCTACAGTTCACTTACATCACATTCTATAATTCATAAACATTACTATAAGATACAAGAAAGAAAAACCAATGAATGAATAAAATGTTTACCTTCTTCGATGAAAACCGACAAGCCGAAATCAGTAACCTTGATAATCGCCTTATCATCCTTACTAGACAGCAAGAAATTCTCTGGCTTCAAATCTCTATGCATCACACCCATGAAATGACAAATATGAACAACATTAACAATCTGTCTACAAATCGAAGACGCGGCTCTTTCACTATAATGTCCTTTCGCAATAATCCTATCGAAAAGTTCACCACCGGCACAAAGTTCCATAACAACATGAACATGATTTCTATCCTCATAAGCACCTTTAAACTCAACAATGTTTGGTTGTCCACTCATATGCTGCATGAGTTGCACCTCTCTCTTTATATCTTCCTTATCAGCTTTATTAACAAGTTTCCTCTTCGAAATCGATTTGCAAGCATATTTCAAATGAGTTGAATTTTGAGTGCATCTATATGTCACACCAAATTGTCCTCTCCCTAATTCTTTCCCAATTGTGTAAAATTGTTTCACATCTTCAAATTGTTTGCCAAGGATTGTGTTTGTAGCTGATCTTTGAACAGGTTTTGTACTTGAGGCATGTTGAGAAGGGTCTTTTGGTTTTGATTGATTCACATGGGGTTCATGATTCTTCTGATTCTGATTGTGATTTTGATTGTGATTATGATTGTGATTGGGATTATGATTATGATTGTGATTGGGATTACCAGAATCAACATGTCTTTGATCTGGGGCTGATTCTTTTTTGCTCAAACAAATACCCATGATTATAACACAAAAATCAAAATCAAAAGATGAGATTTTTATGAGATACAAGATCAGAGCTTCAAAGTGATTAAGTGAATGTATGAAAATGGAAAAAGCCCATATCAGAATTCAACAAAATTATGCAGATTTATAGCTAAAAATCAAAGCTTTGGATCAAAAAATGTGAAGAAAAAAAGGTTGTTTTTGATCATTTGGGTTTGAATGAACCAAAATTTGAAACATGATATATAAGGGTTTGAGGAGAAAGGGATCAAAATTTGTGATTAATTGAAAATGTCTAAAGTATGAAATGAACAAAAATGGAAGGAAGGAACAAGCAACATGGAAATAAGTCAAACGTTTGATTTGGATTCATGTGAAGAATATGTATTAGAAATGTTTGAGGTTATTTATGACAAGAATAATGTTGTTGAGGAAGGACATTGTCTCTTTTATGAGAAAATCAACCATTTGTTGAATGTTGTTATGGATTAGTATTAAAAAAGTGATTTTGATAATCACTTATTTATAGATGATTTCTTTTGGAGATGTTTAGATATACTGGAAGTTACTTTGCAATTTTCTTTTATTAATGTTTTAGCTTTAAATTGTTTATTCTATAGATTATTTTAATATAAATAATTCATATTTACAACATAAGGAAATATAATCAATATACTTGAAGAATTAATAACAAAAAAATATTTTACTAAATTTAAAAATATGTTTAAATATTAATATAAAATAGACTAATATTTTCCTTTTTTATTTTGTGTTGAGGCAGAATAGGCCAATGCTGACTTCTTCACTTAAAAAAGTATTTTAAAAATATTTATTTAAAAATTAAAAAATCAACATAAAACTTCTATTCCGTTTTTTAATTTCTTAACAAGTGTTCTACCAATATAAAGTTAAGAAAATTGAACTATTTTTATATTTAGGTTTTACTTTTTTACTGAAATTTTAGACTTCAAAAATAAACTATCCCCAAATTATTTGTAATATCTTTTAGTTTAAAAATTTTTACACTTATAAAAGGTTAAAATAATAAAAATTTAATCTCTCAATTAATTCATCTCACTTCAATTAAATGTTACTTAATATCAAATTCTTTTTTGAAGAAATCAAAATGGATTAACAAAAGGCAACCTCTAACACAAAATGTACCAAAGAGCCTCGAAGTTTACATCAAAACATCAGACCAAGAGCAGCAACCTCATCCTAAACTCAAACAAACAAAAGGGTTTTGTTACCACAAATGAGATCCAGAAACAAAACTAGTGGACTTGGCTTTTAGCCACCAAA